TTAGGGGCGGCCAAACCAAAACGTGGCATCAGTGCTTGAAGTCACTAACTTCTAGTCTGAGCCATGTTGGTAGATGTAGACTACTCGGCTGGGGTCCGCGTCACTATCGTAACCAATGGTTGGAGACTCTTGGTGACATGGCTCAGAATCGATCACAATGGCGTAGGTGTATACACTCTCTGTCTTCCCTTAAACTAAGAAATTAAGATCGCTTCATATCTTTCTTTCTATCAACTAATTCTTCCTTCCTGTACTATATCCTTATTGCAATCCTTCTTTTATATATTACTACCTCTGAATTAACTACTTTTATGAATCCGGTGTCCATCTTGTTGTGTTAATGAGGTATGGCAACTTGAACCGATGCATCTATGTGCCTGGTCCTACGTTGTAGCTGACTGACTGATGTCACTATGAACAATCTTAAACCATGTCACACCGATGATATTGAGAAACTGATCAAATGAAGTCCTGGAGATGTAAACAACATGAGAAAAAGTCCATCCATTAAATTGATCATTCGATAAATAGTTTTTTTCGAAAAAAACTATTCTATCAGTGTTAATCGAAAATTGAAACGAAAAGAGGATGATTACCTTCTATAATGTAAACCTATGAAGTTTTCATTTATTCTACGTAATATAAACACCTAACCTTTTCAAAACGTAAAGTGTTAATTTAATAGTTGAATGAAAGCTAGACCATCATGGAAAATCAGGAAGCACTGGATGACCGTTTCGTCCTAGTATGCGACTCCTCAGCAATGCGCATCCATGATCCTGCCTCGAGGCATTTGAATCTAGGACCTATCCGTCTCGCGGGCAAAACCACAAAACTTCTCTCTCAGTATAATGTTAACTCAACAGCATGTGTATATAAAAACTGTATTTATCATAGAAAAATTAAATCGTCAAGTGATTTCATTTATATGAATCATAGAAATACAATAAGACATTCATTTCTAATGATGAGATTAAGATAGTTAAGATAGTTAATGTATGTGAAAAATTTACATCACTTCTATCAAAATATCAATCTAAAATTGTGTTTTGTGCATACCTGTACCTGTACCTCTGCGTGTGTGTGTGTGTGTGTATGAACAAAGGCGAATCACATTTTTCTCAGTAAATAAGTAAATTGACCTCGTCTCTCCCTCTCTCTCTCTTACTCCCTCACTCGTTCTCATACAGACATATATACCTGCATGAAGAAGTCAATGATGATAGACTCCTTTTTATTCACTGTCTATGTGAACAACTCAGTTGGATATGATGTCCTGATGTTAGTCACTACCATCATTGAGTTATTTCACAAATTAATATTTTACTATTATTATTATTATCTATATCAACAACAACAAACTTGTTTGATACTGCAAAATTACAAAATTGTTTCTAACTAATTTGTTCCTTTTTGAATCTAGAATGTACACTACTAGTGACATAATTAAGAATGATTCAATCAATGAAATGTTGGATGTGTTTTAGACGACATAAAACTATTCTCTTAAGTATAGAAATTATTCAACTACTATTAATATTTATGGTTTTAAAGAATTTTGCCATTTTGCATCATTGACAGTGTTTAAATTCACTTGGTATTGTTTGCCTTGCATCTTCCCATTGAGATTTAAGACTGCAATTGATCAGTCTCTTACTGGCATATGTGCATCCTGTGAGGATTGCATCGATATTGTCTTAATTCACAAGCATTATAAGAAAAGATGAATAGAGGCTAGAAGTGGGATTCAAAACACAGGTTTCATCCTATTTTCAACGCATTGCTGGATGTACATACATCTGTGGGACTCAAACCGAGTACCGTTCACTCCAAACGCCATCACATTATTCACTTATCTATTGAGTCTTGACAGCTACTAATTTATACAATGGATTCCACTACTTGCTACTATTCATCTTTGCTTAAAAAGTAAGATAGTTCGCTTTTTTCTTGAAAAAAGATTTGAGTGATTATTTCATGAGAGACTTAGTCAAACCATTCCATCCATTGATATGATGTGAAAATTTAGCGCTCATTGGCGAAATCTTACGATTCTACATTCGATGTGCTCCAATAATAATAATAATAATCTAATTCATCTGACAAGTGGTTGGGATATATATTCATTTTGCCTAACTACCGTCTACTGTTATGCATACTGTTGCGTGGATGAAAGTTAGGAGAGACCAAAGTATAATGTTGCATCACTGTAAAATCACTGATTGTTGTCTGAGCCTTATCGATAGATGAATACTACCTGAGTGAGTTCCGTTTGACTACTGTAACTAATATTCAGGAGTTCTAGATGACATGACTTAAAATCAATAATAATAGAACGGATACATTTAGTCTTAATCCAGCTAACATATCCCAAATAGGACGAAATGCACATCTTGGATTTCACTGCTAGCCACTACCCATCATTGAAGGCATTCGACAGAAACTGGTGAGTATAAGTATTATGCTGGTTTACATCATTAGTAAGATGTAATATACAAATATTTGAGGAGATTGATACTTTGTTACATATTTAAACCGGTTCATCGACTAATAACTGATGTTATCACTAAGATATTCAAATTATAAATGATCTTCCAATGGATTTAAACGACCACATTGTCATGTTACGTAATAATCACTTCCATTAACAAACTTTTTTTTCTTCTTTTTACACAAAAATCATACTGGTGTTATATTGTTTAAATCTAAAGATAACAGGAAAAAAGGTGAAACATTTTCTAAGATAAACATCAATAAGCATATAGATTACGAAAAAAAGAAGAAAGAAGAGAAGGTAAACAGAATAAAATGACATAACCATATGAGATGGTGGAGAAGATTTGTAGCTCAGGTGGATAATTTTGACCAAATCATCCAGCTCAGAGAACAAAACTCCACCAAAAGACATAACCATATGTTTTATTCGTTGTTACCATTAAAAAAAAAGAAAAAAGAAAAAAAAAGAAAAACGAGATTGATAAAGCGATAAAATGCAACAACATCTGGTATTATTCAAAGCCTTAGCAACTAAAATTAAAATCAATATTATTATTTATAATACATACATTAAATTAGTAACAATCATTTAAACTTTAATTGATTAATATAAGTCTTAAATACAATTGTATGAGTTATTGATTTACCTGTCAATTAGGTCTGTTTAAAGAAACATCAAAGTTCAATCGTTAAGTTAATCAATTACAAGTTTGGAAACGACTTAGTCACATGGTACATAGAACCTGGCATATATATGTGTATCGATTTATGTTGTTGTTGTTGTTGTCAATATCATATTAGTATAATAAGATGAAATGATTACAAGACAAATCTTGAAGTAGTAATAGTAGTAATAGTATCAGACGTTAGAAACAACTATGTATACATTTTATCTTCTATTATATATATATATATATATATATATATAACAGTTAGGTAATAACAATAGTTTCTTGGTAGAAATTGTTTATAATAATAATAGTCTTGTTTAAGGAAGGTTAAACATCATCAAAATAACTTAATCATGATATCATATTTCAAGGACAGTATTCTTTAATCGTTTTGTCACATTTGCCCCCAAATACCCTGGTATGGCCAAGAGTGGGGTGGACCCGCCCTCCTTCTCGAAATGCTCTCACATGGCCAAGCGTATACAGCTTCTGCCAGGGAAGTCCTACTCACTACCTTCTCATGCAGGATCCAAAACTAATGGTGCACATGGGCTCCAGTATCCTGTGGGAACAAATGTCGTATGAACCAATTGTTGGTCATCGGCTACCATGGGACTACATCTCCTGACGTTGCTCCACTGCCTTGTGGGTCAGACCTTTAGGTCCAAGGCTCGGGTTATAGCCCCCTAAGGAAGCTACCTGCTTCGCTCTGGGCACCTGGAGAGTATCCCAGCCATCACACAAATCGAATGATTTATGTGGCGCATATGTATTTGGTGCCTCCTTGTACCAATGTTTATGTTTAAATAATCTTAGCTCATTTCACGACTGGTATATATAATTACATCATAAAATGAATCCAAATATTATCTAACAGCTAGGAGCAATTCAAAACGCGCGTTTTTGGATTTCACTACTAGCCACATTCCATCTATTTTAGATGAATGAAGGAAAGTTAAACTTTTCATATCAATAAAAAAAAATCATCCAGATATATAACAACTAATAAATTTAAACAAAGTAGGTTAGTGACAAGAAGTGGAATCTGTGACTCACGTTTCGCCTTGTATAAGATTCAACAACAGTATATAACCTTAACATCGCAGTGCTGAAGTTTCACTCTCGGAAGCTTACAAATGTAATTAAAGTAATTTTACGCATGATTTTAAATTGATGAGAAGAAAAAAGTACACAATTACAAGACAACAGATTCAGTTATTCTAGTTATCATCATCAACTTGATGAATATACTGTCGACGAATGAAACAGAAAGGATAAAACTTTTTTTAGAAAAAAAAACCCAGCTAAAATGAATCAAAATTATTTACAATATCATAATTGGATTTATTAAGTAGAACAGTGATTACGTAACTAGTCAATTAATCAGTCAGCTACAACGTAAAACTTAGTACGTACCTACATCAGTTCAAGTTACCATACTAAAATTAGCCCAGAGATACAATTATCGATTCAAATCCCATAGTGATAAAGGTAGTAAGAGTATAAGTAATATCAGAATGGATTTTGTGGAGATTTTTAGAAATTTCACAGGTTGAAATCATGAATCAATTGAAGCTAGATCACCATAGAAAACCTGTAAGCACTGGACGGCCGTTTCTTCCTAATATGGTACTCCTCAGCATTGTGCATCCACGATCCAGCACCCCGCGAGATTCGAACTCAGGCCCTACTGCTTTCGCGCGCGAGCACTTAACCACTAAACCACTGAGTCGAAAGTACGAAGGTTACAAAATCAAACCACCATCAATTATAAATTTATAATAAAGTACAAAATTACAATTTTAGTAAAATAAATAATAATCATAAACTTACTCTATCTAATTTTAATCGTTTAATTGGTATTAAACTATCATTCAATCCACATGGATTAATTGATTCATCAGTTTTTACAGCAAATTCATATGGATCAATTGGTTCATTAGTTCCACTAGAAATAATTGATGATGAAGTCGATGTAGATGATGAACAACAATTTGATTTGGAATTAGATAAACGTATTGTATTCGAGATTAAATTATTATTACTATTATTAGTATTATTAATAGTAGTAGTATTAGTAGTAGTAGTAGTAGTAGTAGTAGTAATAGGATTTATAGATGATACATGTGTACGTCCACCACGATGTGTAATTTTCAATGATGTTCCAGTTACTTGTGTTACAGTACTATTAGCATTATTTGAAATAGAAGGTGATGATGATGATGAACAAGAGGAATTTGTATGTTTACTTGATTTATGACGTGTTTTAGTATTTTTCGTTGTTGAATTACAAGTTTTTTTATGACTTTTGTTCATATTCTCATTATTATTTAATGAACTATCTGTTAATGTAGGATAATTGTTATTATTATTATTATCATCTGATTGATCTAATTGTTCATTTAATTTGTTAGGAATGTATGTTGATACAGGATTAGTCCCAGAAATTGTATTACTATTAGCACTACTTCGTGTACACGTCTCTGACCTGTTATATGGACGTTTGTTTTTAACTTTCATTTCTTCTATTTATGTATGTATGTGTGTATGTGTGTGTGTGTGTGTGTGTGTGTAAGGTTCAATAAACTGAAATGATCCACAATCGATTATCTTTTATTGACATTTGTTTCAATGGAACTATTATATAATGGATCTGGATAATGTTGTTGATATATGAATATACATATACTCCACGAACCGAATGATAATCTTAATGATAAATCCAATTATGTAATGTCAAATCCAAATAAAATTTGTATATTTTCAAATAAAGTAAACTTGACAAATTAAAGTTATTTAATTGTATATTACATAGAAACCACTTATAGATTAGGTCATGTAAATAAAGGATGTTCGCTTTAGTGTGTCCGTTTAAACGCCTGGAATTAACCAAAGCAAATTGTAATTAATGATTATTAATTAAATTGAGTTAGTTTTCCTCTTTCTATTTTCCTTTTAAGAAAAAAATAGTATATCCGAATACGATGAAAATTCCCTCCCCCGAAGAAACAAATAAATAATAATAACAGATCACTTGAGTGATATCATAGAGACAATATATAACTATCCACAATATATATATAATCCAATATAGAACGACTCCAATGGCTATCGAGTCAACAATGTAAGTATTTATATATATAGAAAGGAAGCTAATATGATTGGTTAATAAATATTAACCAATCAGAGATGAGTTGTCAAATAAGATAAACGCCCTCGTTCATTTTTTTCTTTTCTTTTCTTTTCTTTCTGTTTGTTTTCTTCTCCAATAAATTATTCAAGGTGTGAATTTACGAGAAAAATAAAATAAAGAAATAATGATAAACATTAAATATTAAAAAAAATTAATGTGGTTGTTTGTTTGCTTGTTTATTATTTTATCACTACATATATAATACACACACACATACATACACACATTTATACAAATAAACACGCAAACACAACCCAATAAATGGCTGTTAGTATAATGTTTAGTTAGATTAGGTTTGGTAACCTGATGTGAAACAACAACAACAACAACAACAACAAAAAAACACATATCCCTAGTTCATTTATCAAAATATAATTTTCATTCTTATATTATATTGATTGATTTGTTTGTTTGTTTTCTTCGAAGGTAATTTAAAATTCAATGAATAATAGAATTTATTGCATAAGCTTAATGTGATTATAGTAGTATTATCTTAACATTGCTAATAATAATAATAATAATAATAATAATAATAATAATAATAATAATAAGTAGTAGTAGTAGTAGTAGTAGTAGTAGTAGTAGTAGTAGTAGTAGTAGTAGTAGTAGTAGTAGTAGTAGTAGTAGTAGTAGTAGTAGTAGTAGTAGTAGTAGTAGTAGTAGTAGTAGTAGTAGTAGTAGTAGTAGGCTTAGAATGATTAAATTTATGAGACTGTTATCATTAATAGCCATATGTAGGAATCATATTCTATCGGAAATGGATTATGGTTATAAATAATAATTGAATGTACATGTAATAAATAGGAGCAGAATCTAGGACTTTTATTTAAGATTGGTTACACATTGTTCAATGGTTAGAATTTCAAACGTGCTTGAATTCATGGAAAAAAGAGGAGTATGACATAAACTCATTGTTATATAAACTAACGCTATCATTATATTCACTTGGAGTTGTTTACTTGTATCTTCCCATTGCACAACGAGGTGGCTATCAGGACTCAGTAGCTAAGTGGATTACACGATGGTATTTGAAACGAACAGTATTGAATTCGATTCGCATAGTGAACATCAACTGTGAGATGCAGATATATCCAGCTGACGAGTCCCAAATAGAACGAAACGCGCGTCCTAGATTCCACTGCTAGCCACTATCCATATTTAACCATGTTATTAGTTTTGAATTTCAGGAAAATATTTATGTTTTAGTGTTAAAATAAATGATGAATACAGAAGATGGTAATTATCAGAGCCTATTAAGTATGGTAATTTAAGTAACTAATTATATCTGCCAGCAATGTGTAGTTATGCGATTCCATATTAATATTTAAAAACTATCGGGAATCTAATTATTGAAAAATCTAAGAAATAACACTGTAATAGTTCGTATATATTTATTCTCCTCTATCATTTATGGGATTACTATAGGATTCATATACTTTAGATGACTAATATAGGACAGCAGGGTATTAAGGCGGGTTCCAAACAATTACTGATTGTTATGAATCCAGTCAACCACAAGCTTTTTGAAGTTTTTGGTACATATCATTTGAATATTCAGAAGTTAAGTGATTCTGAAGAAGAAATTTTATTAAGATTTTGCGCATGTTATATATACTGTAATCGAACTTAAAGTATTAAATCAAGCCAAAGTTGTTATTATTACGTCACCTTGTCAGCCAGCTTCAAAATAGGACCAGGCGCATATGTACATAAGTCGAACTTGACACACCTCATTAACACAACAAGATGAACACCAAATCCATAGCAGTAGTCACTTCAATGATAGTAATATCTAAAAGAAAGACTTCATATAAAGATATAATCCAGGAAGAAAGAATTAGTTCTTAGAAATAAAGGTATAAAGCGATTTTAATCTCTTAGTCTAAGCGAGGACAAATAGTGTGTATACACCTACTCCATTGTGATCGATTCCGAGTCATGTCATCAGAGTTTCTAACCATTGGTTATGATAATGACTCAGACCCCAACCAAGTTGTCTACATCTGTTAACATTGCTTAGATTGGAAGCTAATGATTTTGTGGACTGATGCCACGTTTTAACTGCATTACAAGTACTAATTATTTTAGTGTAATATAAAGGGTTCAATGAAATGATTTGTTAAAAAAATAATCAACAATATTTAAGATTATTATTGAATGGACTTTGTAAAGAATAGTTTGATGATGGGTTGAATTTCAAACGGAATCATGGATATGCAGTTCTTTAAAAGCCCTGTTATTGGAAGAAATAGATTTCCAGAGATCGCCAGTTTCCAATGATTCTTTCAACTAAGGTTAATCTTTTAAGAATATCAACTAATTTAAGACTATTCCTTAGTTGGATGAGCGAGATGACAGAACAAGATGAACTATTTGCACTGTCATAAATTCTATCTAAAAATCCTAGCTAGTTAAGTATTACAAGAAGGAAGTATGCGCAACTGACTGGGTACATTTCGTTTTTATTCGTCATAGACTGATATCCGTTAAAATACTATTGAACATCAGAGAGCATCGTCAACTGTCTCACCTTACTAAGGAATTCTTTAGTAGTCCATGAATGCAACATCATCAGGAATCGAAATTCGTAGCCTTAGATTTCTCAGAGAACGCCTAATCATTAGGACCGCTATTCCGAATTTTCCTAGTACAATTTGAAGTGTGTTCAGTTTGTGATCTAAATCATTGAACATTCAATACCATTAGTGAAAACCGTTTTATACCAGACATTTCTTAACTACAACAGTCATGATTTCCTATGAGAACCTCAGGAATATTTTGCAATACGTTACTAGTGATCTAAATATTGTAGTCAAGTCAAACTGATTTTATATAATTTAAGTTAGATTCATGATAAGATAGAATGTGTGCACTGTTATACAGTCCTATCCTATGATAAAAACATCAGTCCATTGTTTCCTGTTCTTTAGAGATACCATAACAGGGGTAAAAATTTGATGAACATAATCTACAAATTCAACAAATCTTCACAATCAATATAAACATACATTTAAATATTCAATCAAACTCGTATAATGTGATAGATAACAAATGAAAATCTATTTCGAGATGATGATGATGATGATGATGATGATGATGATGATGTCGTTCAGAAGAACGATGAAAGCTCCACGACCAAACGACCATCCAGCTCAGAGAACAAAACTCCATGAAAATCTATTTCAGATAGTTACCATTGCTATTGCAGAACTGTCTAGGTTATCAATTACCTCTTTTTTTATTACTGTGATACATGTGTGTACCAACCGTTAGTTTCATTACATTTCGCGTTATTTTTGTGGAGCTCACTTTCTATTTGGTTTTATGAGAAAGAAAAACTATCAAAGTAAACTTGTGATTGTTTGGAAGTAGTAAATAATCATATAAATGTTGATTTATGGAAAAGTAATTGGTATAATGTTTCCCTGAAAAAAATGTATACCGGCTTTCCCCGAAATGTCACTTTAAAATACCAAACCGTTGGAAGGCGTCATGGTTAAACAGTGAGAATGAGTCTATTAAAAAGATAATCAGAGATGTAAAATATAAGGGTATATGGTATATTATCATTGGAACATTCTCAACAAAACATGAACTCCGAAAACCTAACTAGTTAGAAATCATACATCATATGACTCTTCATTTGATAATATTATCATAACAAGTATACGCGGAACTGAGATTACTAACAAAGATGTATAATATATATCATTAGTATAAGCGGAGATTGATGGTGGTTTGTAGTAGAACCCTGCACGCGCGTTTTGTGCTATTTGGGACTCGTCAGCATGATGTGCCTACATTCCAGAGTTAATATTTATTACAGGACTCTAATAAAATACCTTTCGCTTCAAGTGGAATCGTGTTATCTATTTAGTTGCTGAGTTCAGGTTATCACTGGTTTGTTGACAAGAATGAATTTTAACTCATATATATTGGTTGTTTGGATCAACTATAAACCTGAACATCAATATCAAAATCGAAACAAGTATATATATATGTATATAGATTCACTTGGTATTGTTTGGCTTGTATCTTCCCAAAGAGGTTTAAGAATGCGATTGATCAGTCTGTTATTGGCATATATGCATACTGTAGCTGAGTGGATAATGCGATGGCGTTTGAAGCAAATGGTACTGTGTTCGAATCTCACAGTGAACATCAACTCTGAGATGCAGGTACATCCATTTGACGAGTCCCAAATAGGACGAAACGCGCGTCCTAGATTCCACTGTTAGCCACTATCCATTATTACTTACAAAAAGCTTGTGAATTAAGGCTATATGTATGTAGTTTTCCGTTTATTTCACATAACATATCAATTACTACTGTTAAACATTGTTAAACAAAACAATTAATGCTATTTTAAACAAACTGGCAATAGTGAATATTCAATAACTTAATATATGGTAACAGGATATGTAGTTAGATAAACAGGTAGACATTAGATGGATGGATGGATGGATGGATGGATGGATGGATAGACAGACAGACAGACAGATAGGCAGATGGACATGTAAACATGTAGATAATTTACATATATAATTCTAGTTCATACTTATGACAATGATCATCATCTTCATTATAGAAGTACTCAAAATATTCTCTTTACAAGTGGAATATCCGTTTTAAGCACATAATTGTTTTCCTTTTACTGTCATTTACAAATAAACCACTCAGTTGATGGAACATAGAAGTTTAGTTGAAAATTGCTCAAAATTAGCTCTAATATCTTTTTGATGGAGTTTTATACCAAACTTCTACCTGAAGTTTATGCTGATTCTGTCGTCCAGAAGAACGATGAAAGCCCGACGACCAAACGACCATCCAGCTCAGAAAACAAAACTTCAATGAAAATCATTTACCTGAGATATAAATCTTCCCCAGTAACTCTAATATCACTATTAATACGGGTGATATATGATGAAGTTTCCAGTTTTAAATGGAAGATCATTTTGATATCACGATTGGAAATGCGCCAAACTGACAAATATCAATTTGCATGAAATTTAACCTTACTGTATTTTCCTTAATATCTCTAACTGTCAAGAAAAGTCTTTCATGTACAATCATCTAAACTAGGTACTAGGTAAGGATGGCAAATCAATTGATGAAGCAGTGAAACTTCATCAGTTGAGGTGGCTGGGACACGTGTTACGTATGCCCAACGACCGACTGCCTCGACGTGTGATGTTCAGTGGTATAGGAGTAGGTTGGAAGAAAGCTAGGGCCGGCCAGACCAAAACATGGCACAAGTCCATGAAGTCACTGACAAGTGGACTGAGTCATGTTAATAGGTGTAGACTACCTGGTTGGGGACCACGAGATGATAGCAACCGATGATTAGAGACGTTGAATGACCTGGCTCAAAATCGTTCGCAATGGCGCAGGTGCATCCACTCTTTGTGTTCTCCCAAATTTTGATCTCCTTATCTCCTTTTTTTCTCTTCCCAAATTTATTTCACTGTATTATACTCTTTAAATAACATCTCCAAACACTAATTTTCCTGATTACTGCTTATAGTCTTATTACCTCTACCACTATGGGATATGAATCGACCACTGCATCTCTCTGCTAATGTGCTATGGCAACTCGAACTGATGTACGTACGTACGAAGTTCTACGTTGTTATTGACTGACTCATCTAAACTAGGGATCATGTATCCATCTTGACTAACTGAATAGGATTATGACTATGATCTGTACAATATAATTAGATTCTTCTAGAATTATATTACTGTATTGTAATTATTATACAGTGATAAATATCAAGTGATTATTTAAACAAGTCAGTCTAACAATAAGTCAGTAATAGAGTGAATAACTCAATGTCATGAATGTTGAGACTGTGTGATACAAGTTCGAATCGTATGAAAATTGTTAGTTCCAACAAAAGTGGAAATGAAACATAGATCTATGACTTCTTTGAAACTATTGTCACCAAGCTAATATGCAGTTTGGAATGTGTAATGTTACAAAACAGCATACTTTATTTCAAAAATGGTTAATGGTTCATAATGTTTAATAATTGTACATCCAGTATTAATGAAAGATCATTTTTATGTAATTATCTAATGTATCATTGAAGGGAAAGACTACGTTACTGAAGAATCAAGCATTTAATTCAATATGTATTAATCCTGACACATTGCTTTCCAGTGAAAGTCCAGCTTCTCCTTGAAAGTACTCACTGATGGGGCTGATAACACTTGTTCGGGTAAGGTGTTCCAATGACTGACTACTCGATTAGAAAAACGGGACCCCACTTTAAGTTTATTAAATCACAATTTGTGAACCTTCTTGCTATGACCGCGGAGATTATTAGTGCTGGAGGGAGCAAAAAGATAAGACATATTAACACCCAAATCATAATTAAAGATGCAAAGTGCCAGTATAAGGTCACTTCGTGTCCTACGATACGACAAGGGGAAAAGATTTAGGCGTTTTGAACGCTCATCGTAAGGAGGTCTAGAAAGACCCTTCACTAATTCCGTTCCTACACGCTGGACACGCTCAAGGGAGTTAGTATCCTTTACCAGACACAGGCTAGCTGCTTGGATACACTACTCTAAGTGTGGTCTTACATAGGTGGGATATAAAATTCGAAACGTTTCCTCGTCAAAAGATTTGAACGCTCGGCGAAGTGACCATAACGCACGAAAACCTATGACTAGTTAATATATGTTATACTGGAAAGTGTAGACAATGACCTTCTAACTATATTCTAGTCACCATAATACTTCAAATCTTCAACCCTAAAGTGTAAATAAGAGTTGAGAAATATAAAGAAAACTTAATTTAAAGGGTACTTTTATGTACCACAAGAAAAAAACAACACTCGTAATTACAGGATTATACGTAACCATGACATTCTAAAAACCTTCTGGGAAGCATGTGAACAAATTCAATAATGAATAGTAAAAAGCGTAACCAATCACTATTCATTGTTCCCTTAGAGATATTTAAAGGTTGCTAATCAATGAAAGTGCCTCTTTAGTATTTCTTATATCTTTGAAAACTTTTCAAGGAATTATTAAGAGCATATTACAATTATCTTCTTGAAACTTCACATATATGTATAAACCATTATGTACCGCCACCACTCATGTTAAAACTGGTAGCTTAAATCAAATGGTTTACTGAAAAATTCACTGATATTTATTATTTCACAAGTTGAAATCATGAATCAATTGAAGCTAGACCACCATTGAAAACCTGGAAGCAGTGGACGCCCGTTTCGTCCTAGTACGGGGCCCCTCCGTAGTGCGCATCCACGACCCCGCACCCAGCGGGGTTCGAACCCAGGACCTACTGGCTTCGCGCGCGAGCACTTAACCATTAGACCACTGAGCCGGCGTCCAACGGTGTTAATGTCTAACTTCAACCAATCCACGAAGTTGCGCCACCGTACACCATTGTCTTCAATGAGTTCCTATCTCACAACAGACCTGGTTGAACTCCACTGGTAACGACTTCTCACTAGAACTCCAGGAGTGTCTCCTGAAGTCAGTCACTGGTGAGCAGGTGATTATTATTATTGTCAGAATGGGTTTGTGGAGATTTTTAGAAATTTCACAAGTTCAAATCATGAGTCAGTTGAAGCTAGATCACCATGGAAAACCTGGAAGCAGTGGACGGCCGTTTCGTCCTAGTATGGGATTCCTCAGCAGTGCGCATCCACGATTATTATTTCACTTAATTAAAAATACTAAGAATGATCTCAGACGTGACTATAATTGATGGATGAACCAATTGGGTATAAGATAATAGACCTTGGATTTTGGCGCGAAATTCATTCATCTATTTGGATAAATAGAGTTTTGACATTATTACTGAAATAAGTTCGTGATAAAAACGCTAAATCTAATTCTTAACCTTAACCATTAACTGTAAAGTTTAATTCTTATTCCTTATATTGGTTTATAACTTTCATTTGGTCACTTCAGCGTTGTTCAAAGGTCGTCCATAAATTACGGTCTTACCATGATCTCAGTTTACCATTATTATTACTACTACTATTATCAATATTATTATTATTATTGTTATTATAAGCAAAGATGGATAGTGGTTAGTTGTGAAATTCAAGACAAGCATTTCGTTTCATTTGGGTCTCGTCAGCCGGATCCACTTGGAACTCGAACCCCAATACCTTTCGCTTCAAACGCCATCGCATTATCCATATCAATGGGAAGATCCAAGTAAACAATACCAAGTGAATGTATTATTATTATTATTATCAATGAAAATGTTCAAGTTTCAATTCCAATAAACAATCGATAAAGCATATTATGTAATTAATCATTCACAAATATATGATAACAAGATATTTGAAGTGGATCAAATTATAGGTTAGTTACATTTGAGTTAACTTATTAACAAAGTTACATTATTTGTGTCTACGTCAGATTACGTCATCGTCATCGTCATCATCACCACCCCCATTACCCCCATCACCCCTATCACCATAATAATCAATTTTGATATCCCTTTAATATGATTGTCTTAAATTGGTGACATGTGAATATTATTGATCAATAATTAATTATGACATAATTAATTAGTTTCTATTAATTTTATGCAAATTTCGATGAAAAAAAAACTTAAATATATTTGAATAGCATGGAGATGATGGAATGGCGTTGATACTGATGTTGTTGTTAGAGAGATATATCACTTCTTTCATACCTCATAATTTATATGAGGTACTAACAAAATAAAAAGAGTATGGATACATTATTGAATAATAAATGACAGTAATTGAAAGACTAGTAAGACGTAGGGAGAATTCGGCATTGTACATTCTTACGTATGTTACTCCCAGCATTCTCTAACCCATTCTGTCCTTGGCCTTCCTTCCCAGTTCTATCTAATTCTTGTTCACATGCACTACATATATTGGTACGCATGCTGATTTATCAATAAGAATAAGAATAAGAATAATTGACAAGTGAACAGATTTGAATAAACAAAAGAAAAGCAAAAAAAAAAGGCCTGAAAAATAAAATTCTTTCAACAACAACAAAAAAATGGATACAATGATTAGTTTAGTGTAAGTAGAGATTTACTGGATACTTCCGTTTCGGGTTTGTTTATTGTTCGCCTTACAAAGGAATCATTTAATGAATGATAACTAATGGATAGAATTAATGAAATGATTGATTATGGATAAAAAGGGGGATGGGTGAGTGGGTGTAAAAGATTTTTTATTTATAAACATAGACATAGTAACATAAATCATTGGTGAGAGATTAATTGTGAATGAGGAACATAGATGTAGTGTATACCGGCATCTTATTTATAACTAGTATTTTGGATATATATATAATTGTATACAAATGTCAATCAATCAGAGTTGATATTCATATGAATGTAATAGGAGAATGATTAGTGTAAAACATGTGTAATTGGATGAATTAAAACACAAACTAAGGTAATTAGAATGGTTGAAAATAATTAGTTGAGAAGAATATGAGTATTTTGATGAATAGAATTGGGTAGATCATCAATTCAGTAGAGAGATAAGATGAGTTGGAGTGAAAGACAAAAATAAGGAAGCATTAATATGAGAAACCACAATACTCATTAGTCAACACCTCATCCTTGACTGAACTCATGTAGATCGTGTACTTGAAGAATGTGAAGATCAGTGTATCTGAAAGATTCTGGAAGAGAGAGATTGAGTGAATGACTCGAAAATAAACATCGAATCAATTGACACCAAATGGTGAAAATAGTTAATAATAATGATTTGTAAAAAGAACAAGTATGTGATGATGATGATGATGATGATGAATGATGATGATGATATGATGATGATGATGATGATGATGATGATGATGATGATGATGATGATGATGATGATGATGATGATGATGATGATGATGATGATGATGATGATGATGATGATGATGATGATGATGATGATGATGATGATGATGATGATGATGATGATGATGATGATGATGATGATGATGATGATGATGATGATGATGATGATGATGATGATGATGATGATGATGATGATGATGATGATGATGATGATGATGATGATGATGATGATGATGATGATGATGATGATGATGATGATGATGATGATGATGATGATGATGATGATGATGATGATGATGATGATGATGATGATGATGATGATGATGCTGATGATGATGATGATGATGATGATGATGATGATGTGGATGATGCTGATGATGATGATGATGATGATGATGATGATGATGATGATGATGATGATGATGATGATGATGATGATGATGATGATGATGATGATGATGATGATGATGATGATGATGATGATGATGATGATGATGATGATGATGATGATGATGATGATGATGATGATGATGATGATGATGATGAGATGATGATGATGATGATGATGATGATGATGATGATGATGATGATGATGATGATGATGATGATGATGATGATGATGATGATGATGATGATGATGATGATGATGATGATGATGATGATGATGATGATGATGATGATGATGATGATGATGATGATGATGATGATGATGATGATGATGATGATGATGATGATGATGATGATGATGATGATGATGATGATGATGATGATGATGATGATGATGATGATGATGATGATGATGATGATGATGATGATGATGATGATGATGATGATGATGATGATGATGATGATGATGATGATGATGATGATGATGATGATGATGATGATGATGATGATGATGATGATGATGATGATGATGATGATGATGATGATGATGATGATGATGATGATGATGATGATGATGATGATGATGATGATGATGATGATGATGATGATGATGATGATGATGATGATGATGATGATGATGATGATGATGATGATGATGATGATGATGATGATGATGATGATGATGATGATGATGATGATGATGATGATGATGATGATGATGATGATGATGATGATGATGATGATGATGATGATGATGATGATGATGATGATGATGATGATGATGATGATGATGATGATGATGATGATGATGATGATGATGATGATGATGATGATGATGATGATGATGATGATGATGATGATGATGATGATGATGATGATGATGATGATGATGATGATGATGATGATGATGATGATGATGATGATGATGATGATGATGATGATGATGATGATGATGATGATGATGATGATGATGATGATGATGATGATGATGATGATGATGATGATGATGATGATGATGATGATGATGATGATGATGATGATGATGATGATGATGATGATGATGATGATGATGATGATGATGATGATGATGATGATGATGATGATGATGATGATGATGATGATGATGATGATGATGATGATGATGATGATGATGATGATGATGATGATGATGATGATGATGATGATGATGATGATGATGATGATGATGATGATGATGATGATGATGATGATGATGATGATGATGATGATGATGATGATGATGATGATGATGATGATGATGATGATGATGATGATGATGATGATGATGATGATGATGATGATGATGATGATGATGATGATGATGATGATGATGATGATGATGATGATGATGATGATGATGATGATGATGATGATGATGATGATGATGATGATGATGATGATGATGATGATGATGATGATGATGATGATGATGATGATGATGATGATGATGATGATGATGATGATGATGATGATGATGATGATGATGATGATGATGATGATGATGATGATGATGATGATGATGATGATGATGATGATGATGATGATGATGATGATGATGATGATGATGATGATGATGATGATGATGATGATGATGATGATGATGATGATGATGATGATGATGATGATGATGATGATGATGATGATGATGATGATGATGATGATGATGATGATGATGATGATGATGATGATGATGATGATGATGATGATGATGATGATGATGATGATGATGATGATGATGATGATGATGATGATGATGATGATGATGATGATGATGATGATGATGATGATGATGATGATGATGATGATGATGATGATGATGATGATGATGATGATGATGATGATGATGATGATGATGATGATGATGATGATGATGATGATGATGATGATGATGATGATGATGATGATGATGATGATGATGATGATGATGATGATGATGATGATGATGATGATGATGATGATGATGATGATGATGATGATGATGATGATGATGATGATGATGATGATGATGATGATGATGATGATGATGATGATGATGATGATGATGATGATGATGATGATGATGATGATGATGATGATGATGATGATGATGATGATGATGATGATGATGATGATGATGATGATGATGATGATGATGATGATGATGATGATGATGATGATGATGATGATGATGATGATGATGATGATGATGATGATGATGATGATGATGATGATGATGATGATGATGATGATGATGATGATGATGATGATGATGATGATGATGATGATGATGATGATGATGATGATGATGATGATGATGATGATGATGATGATGATGATGATGATGATGATGATGATGATGATGATGATGATGATGATGATGATGATGATGATGATGATGATGATGATGATGATGATGATGATGATGATGATGATGATGATGATGATGATGATGATGATGATGATGATGATGATGATGATGATGATGATGATGATGATGATGATGATGATGATGATGATGATGATGATGATGATGATGATGATGATGATGATGATGATGATGATGATGATGATGATGATGATGATGATGATGATGATGATGATGATGATGATGATGATGATGATGATGATGATGATGATGATGATGATGATGATGATGATGATGATGATGATGATGATGATGATGATGATGATGATGATGATGATGATGATGATGATGATGATGATGATGATGATGATGATGATGATGATGATGATGATGATGATGATGATGATGATGATGATGATGATGATGATGATGATGATGATGATGATGATGATGATGATGATGATGATGATGATGATGATGATGATGATGATGATGATGATGATGATGATGATGATGATGATGATGATGATGATGATGATGATGATGATGATGATGATGATGATGATGATGATGATGATGATGATGATGATGATGATGATGATGATGATGATGATGATGATGATGATGATGATGATGATGATGATGATGATGATGATGATGATGATGATGATGATGATGATGATGATGATGATGATGATGATGATGATGATGATGATGATGATGATGATGATGATGATGATGATGATGATGATGATGATGATGATGATGATGATGATGATGATGATGATGATGATGATGATGATGATGATGATGATGATGATGATGATGATGATGATGATGATGATGATGATGATGATGATGATGATGATGATGATGATGATGATGATGATGATGATGATGATGATGATGATGATGATGATGATGATGATGATGATGATGATGATGATGATGATGATGATGATGATGATGATGATGATGATGATGATGATGATGATGATGATGATGATGATGATGATGATGATGATGATGATGATGATGATGATGATGATGATGATGATGATGATGATGATGATGATGATGATGATGATGATGATGATGATGATGATGATGATGATGATGATGATGATGATGATGATGATGATGATGATGATGATGATGATGATGATGATGATGATGATGATGATGATGATGATGATGATGATGATGATGATGATGATGATGATGATGATGATGATGATGATGATGATGATGATGATGATGATGATGATGATGATGATGATGATGATGATGATGATGATGATGATGATGATGATGATGATGATGATGATGATGATGATGATGATGATGATGATGATGATGATGATGATGATGATGATGATGATGATGATGATGATGATGATGATGATGATGATGATGATGATGATGATGATGATGATGATGATGATGATGATGATGATGATGATGATGATGATGATGATGATGATGATGATGATGATGATGATGATGATGATGATGATGATGATGATGATGATGATGATGATGATGATGATGATGATGATGATGATGATGATGATGATGATGATGATGATGATGATGATGATGATGATGATGATGATGATGATGATGATGATGATGATGATGATGATGATGATGATGATGATGATGATGATGATGATGATGATGATGATGATGATGATGATGATGATGATGATGATGATGATGATGATGATGATGATGATGATGATGATGATGATGATGATGATGATGATGATGATGATGATGATGATGATGATGATGATGATGATGATGATGATGATGATGATGATGATGATGATGATGATGATGATGATGATGATGATGATGATGATGATGATGATGATGATGATGATGATGATGATGATGATGATGATGATGATGATGATGATGATGATGATGATGATGATGATGATGATGATGATGATGATGATGATGATGATGATGATGATGATGATGATGATGATGATGATGATGATGATGATGATGATGATGATGATGATGATGATGATGATGATGATGATGATGATGATGATGATGATGATGATGATGATGATGATGATGATGATGATGATGATGATGATGATGATGATGATGATGATGATGATGATGATGATGATGATGATGATGATGATGATGATGATGATGATGATGATGATGATGATGATGATGATGATGATGATGATGATGATGATGATGATGATGATGATGATGATGATGATGATGATGATGATGATGATGATGATGATGATGATGATGATGATGATGATGATGATGATGATGATGATGATGATGATGATGATGATGATGATGATGATGATGATGATGATGATGATGATGATGATGATGATGATGATGATGATGATGATGATGATGATGATGATGATGATGATGATGATGATGATGATGATGATGATGATGATGATGATGATGATGATGATGATGATGATGATGATGATGATGATGATGATGATGATGATGATGATGATGATGATGATGATGATGATGATGATGATGATGATGATGATGATGATGATGATGATGATGATGATGATGATGATGATGATGATGATGATGATGATGATGATGATGATGATGATGATGATGATGATGATGATGATGATGATGATGATGATGATGATGATGATGATGATGATGATGATGATGATGATGATGATGATGATGATGATGATGATGATGATGATGATGATGATGATGATGATGATGATGATGATGATGATGATGATGATGATGATGATGATGATGATGATGATGATGATGATGATGATGATGATGATGATGATGATGATGATGATGATGATGATGATGATGATGATGATGATGATGATGATGATGATGATGATGATGATGATGATGATGATGATGATGATGATGATGATGATGATGTTTTAAGAAATAGTGATTCATGTAGGCTTAGAAACCATGTCCCCCAGTTTTACAATGTAAAATGTTAGCGTTGAGTTATTAGACAGCAACTGACTTCTTATAGGATTCATATTTTTACATTGAATAGTCATTGAGTATTGATCAATACCGTATCTTTCTTCTAGTCCATTACTGCTATTCTAATTATTTCAATTCAGTTGTAGTGAAGCCATTTGTTTAAGTGATTAACTGCTTTATACATGATATTTTGTTGAAAATAAAAACATCTTTAGTAAATCCAAGTGAATAAATCCCTATTACAAGGAATAAATCAATATAATGTGTTATGCAAAGATTTTCTTCTTTTGTTTAAAATTTGTTGTTACTCACTAACTATGCATCTTAACAAATAAAAAGTCTTACTATAAATACTGAAGTATGGAAACATAACCCCCCCTCTCATGATTGGCATTTTCTTTATTTCATTAGAAAACACCAAGTGATTATAATGGAATAGTTGTGTTCTTTAAAGAACTAAATCGATATTTATATTTACATAGAGAGTCCATTATGAATTAATCGCTACCATGATCAATTCACAATTTTGTTTAAAATCATTTCCAGCTATTATTGTTTATATTTTCTTATATAAACTTAATTTAGCCAAATGTTATTTATGAGTCAATTAAAGCTAGACCACCATAAAAACCTGGAAGCGCTAGACGACCTTTTTGTCCTATTGTGTCACTCCTCAGCAGTGCACCTCTACGATCCAACTCGCAGTAGTCGAACACAAATGTATCGGTGTAGCGCGCGAACGTTTAACTATTAGACAATTGTTCTTGCATTCAACGGTGTTAATGTCTAACTTTAACTAATCCATGAAATTCAGCCACACATCCACTACTGTGTTCAGTGACTTACTATCTCACAACATACCCGGTTGAACTCCACTGGTCATGAATTCTCACTAGAACTCCAGGAAATACCTCTTGAATCCAGTCACTAATGAGCACATGATGATTATTATTAGAAGGGGGTTTTATGAACTATAGTCATCGAATTCATGAGTCAATTAAAGTTAGACTAATGGTCCTTTGTTCGTACTCCATGAATGGGATCCTGGATACCCACTACTGAGAAGTCCTATACTAGAACGTAACTGTCATCCAGTGCTTCCATGTTTTTCATGGTCGTCTAGCTTAGATTGACTCATGAATTCAACTATTAAATTACTAACTTATCTGTGATTCCAACCTACTTATTTCTTAAAACTAATGTAAACCATTTGCATCTATTATAATTGCTATGTAACTCAGGTTATCAGTTTTAAAATTACTACTACTACACTGTGTTTATAATTTTGACAACCATATTCTAATTGACCTTTGTAAATGGTTCACTTGATGTTGTTTTATTTGTATCTTTCCAATGTTATTTAGAACTATAATTGATCAGCCATTTGTTGGTATATGTGCATCCTATACGAACTGCCTTAAGTCACAAGCTTTATAAATGGTTGTTCATATTAACACCGTTGGATGCTGGCTGAGTGGTCTACTTGGTTAAGCGCTCGGGGCGAGACTGATAGGTTCTGGGTTCGAATCTCAGCAGGTGAGACCGCACAAGAGTACTATTAATGAGTCCAACACGGGGACGAAACGGCTTTCTAGTGCTTCCAGGTTTTTCATGGTGGTCTAGCTTCAACTGACTCATGATCTCAACTGTTGAAATGACTACAATCTCCACAATACCCTTTCTGAGATTATAATCTCTTTTTACATTCACTAATATGTACATCATCTAAGTCATTACAAAATAGAGATATAAATAGGTGAACAGAAATTATTCTGTCATAGTTACTATTCTGACTTTAGTCAGAATAGTAACTATTTAGATATTGGAATTGAACACAACATTTGTCTCCTTCATATTGAAACATACATACACACGCACATACATACATACATACATACCAATGCATAAACATTGACACACACCCACACACAGATGCATATACACATGCACACACACACACAGGTAAAACAGTAAAACTGAATCCAATCGATTAATTTTCAATATTGAATAGTTTTTTTTAATTTTTTTATTTTATACGAAAGAAAACCGCAAAGAGAAAAAAAATTTTTTTTCTTTTTGTTTTTAGTAGAAAAATGTTTTACCATTTCATTCATTTAATTACTGTCTTCCGTTATGTTTTATTTTGATGAAGTGTACACAGGTCAAAAGGTCATTCGATAAAGTAAAAAAAAAAATAGAAGGTTAAAAAGAAAAAGAAAATAATAATAATAATTAATAGATAAGTTTTTTTCATTCAATATAAGATCATAACGACACATTGTAGAAGAAGGAAAGGAAGAAGTAGAAGAAGAAGAAGAATGGAAAAAATATCGACTTAGTGGTCTAGTGTTTAAGGGTTCGCGCGCACAAGATCGATAGGTACTGGGTATGAATCGTGCGAGTGGAATCGTGGATACACACTGCCACAGAGAAGTTCCACAATAGGATGAGATGGCTATCCAATGCTTCCAGGTTTTCAACAGTAATCCAGATTAGATTGACTCATGATCTGAACTATTAAAATTACTATAATATCCACAAAACTCCTTCGGAATTAAAAGCTATTTGTTTATTATACTGTGGTCTATAAACAAACGAACAGATATTGAAATGTATTAATTAACTGTCTGAAATGTAGTACACGTTATTGATACTTACTACTAATAAGTGAATGTGATGCGTACTATATTGAATATCATAGTATGTATTTGTGACTGAAGGCAATATCGAAACAGTTCACAGAGGATGCATATATAATAACAAGAGATTGATCCGTTGTAGTTATAAACAAAGGGAAGATACAAGGAAACAATATTAAAGGAATAGTATTTCATGAGCAGCGCATAATATAACAGAGAATAGTTTTAGACATGCCCATGTGTCATACAACAATGATTATTTGATGTTACCATGACTTTAAGCTTTTATTACATTGCAGGCTAATTAAGAGCACTTATTTATACAGTCTGTTGTACTAATGACTTACATTTGACCGATAAAATAAATAATCCACCACCACCACCACCACCACCACCACCACAACAACAACAACAACCATTAAACCATAAATCGTATTTCTCCAATGAACTCCTTCTATTATAAATAGACAGTCAGAAAATGAATATAACGATTCAATAAACCATCAACATTTATAAGCCAAAAAGAAACTCTTAAGATTTTGTGTATTAATCACATGAACACAACGTAACACAACTAAGAAGTCATAATCTGTCTCGTCTGATCTGAAAATAATTTTATATTGAATAGAGTTGGCGTTTATTTCAGCTTCATGATGATATTTATGTCTGAAGATCGGAATAGTACTATGTGATATAAGGAGCTTTGAATCAGTTAAAAGAAAACTCTCTTTAAACGATATTTGGTATTAATTTACACCTATCAGTTAGGCCTACTTGCAATCGTTATCGAATTGATCTGACTAGTTGATTTCGAACCTATGTTACTCAACTTCACAATTTGAGATGATATCAATGAGGTATTCAAACCTTAACCGACATCGTGCAGGATATATGACAATAATTTGTAATTTTAATCAATAAACTTCATCAGGCCGAGGGGGTGATAGTCAGATCTTCCTCTCCAAATGCTCTCATATGGCCACGTGCATACAACCATTGCCAGAGAAATCCTATTCATTGCATTCTCTCAACACTGGTGTTATTTATGAAATTGAGAGGATGGAAAGCGAATGTTCGGCACTTTAACCGGGTTGGTGGATATGGAGAATCCACGTAGGGGAGCCGGAAAACCCTGATTTCAAATCAATGGTGCACATGGGCTACAGAATGCTGAGGGAACAAATGGCATATGAACCTATTGTTGGTCACCGGCTACAATGACGCTGTATCTCCTGACGTTGTTCCACTGCCTTATGAATTAGACTTTTAGGCCAAAATCTCGGGGTGTGGCCCCCTAAGAAAACCATCTGTTTCGATTTGGGCACCCGGAAAGTATGTCAGTCCTCACATAAATCGAATGATTTACATAGTGCATGTCTATTTGTTGCCTCGTTGTACCAATGTGAATGTGTTTAAATAACTACACAGAATAAGATTTATAATAATGGAAAGCTTTTCATTTTCAATTCATCGTTTCCTTTTTTTGTTGTTGTTTGTTTGTTTGTTTGTTTGTAATGAAAAATCTCACGACATTATGGTACTATTAGTTATTCACATTCAATTTGTTTTAATAGTCATAACATTAGGTATTCTACATTCTCACCATTCAAATGAGTAATTAATTGTATAGGCATCAATCACACACACACGCACGCACACACGCACACATACATACATTCATACATGTAAACATAATACATACCCATAGTGTATATAGTTGATATACAGTTTTTCCTAAACCTGAAATGAATTCATGGTGGCGACTAATTTATCATATACAATGAATTGTATCTGTTATTCTTTTTTGTTTGGATTATCATATGGATACTAATATGGATACTACTAATAGTAACAAATATTGATTCCTTTAAGAGAAAAAAAAAACTTTTCCCTAATGTATAGAAATGTATCTAAATCATTTTGTTATCCTATCATGTCATATTGTTACGGTTAGATAGGCAAAACAAAGTGTTTACTTCAATGTGTGCACATTTAAATTTAGGATTTCTTAACTGAATATAACAAGGATTGATCGTGTACAGACTAAATTGCAACACTATGGATCATTGTGGAATGGAATTCATCAATTTATATCACTTTCATTGACTACGAAAAAGTATTTGATAGCGTGGATAGGACAACACTATGGAGCCTTCGACGATACTACGACGTGCCTGAGAAAATAGCCAATATCATACGAAATTTCTATGATGGATTAAACTGCAAAATCATGCATGGGGGACAACTGACAGACTCATTCGAGGTAAAGACTGGTGTCAGGCAACGTTATTTACTCTCATCCTTTATCTTTCTCTTGGTGATCGACTGGATCATAAAGATATCAAACTCTGAGACGAAGCATGGGATATAGTGGACAGCTTGGATGCAGCTGGACGACCTAGACTTCGCAGATGATCTGGCTCTTCTATCGCACATGGAACAACAAATGCAGGAGAAGACGACCAGTGTAGCAGCAGCCTCAGCACCAGTAGGTCTCAACATACACAAAAGGAAAAGCAAGATTATCCGATACAACACAACACGCACCAAAAAAATCACGATTGACGAAGAAGATTTGGAGAATGTAAATACGTTTACATATCTGGGCACCATCATTAGTGAGCACGGTGGATTTGATGCAGATGTGAAGGCGAGGATCGACAAAGCAAGAGCTGCATATTTAC